TGGCACCTAACAACAATAATTTGTAGTATAATCATTGGGCTGGTAGCCACAAGGCTAGCAGTTCAAACCCACCAGTCATTCTCAGAAACTACACATGGTTGCTATGACTCCGTGGTACACATCAACAAATTTGCTTGGTCTCACCCAGTCATTTTGTGAGGATTTCAAAAACTATGACTAAAATAGTCATATTAATTCACTGTATCACATGTCAAGAACCATTAGCTTCACATTTTAATATTTTTGTTTAATGAAGGTTTCTATGAGTTTGTAGCAATACTTCTTTACTTACCTTGGTATAGTAAGCCAAAGACAAGAGCTTCAATCTAATGATTGAGTTAAAATCTTATCTATTTTAATCCATATTTAGCTGGATCCAGAACGAAGTTTATTTGATCAAGGAGTCAAGACAGATGGAACTGTACAGCTTAGTGTACAGGTAATTTCTTACCAAGGTAAGTTTCTTTTAGTAACAGTTCAAATTTTAATATAGTCCTAACAATTTCATAGGTGTTTGAAAAGGTTATATGAATTACTTTTTATTAAGTTATAGTCATCAGAATGAAACAGTAGGACAAACTCTAGCTGGTTTAGTCAATAAGGAATATGTTAAAGAGTATTAAAAGCAGAATCATGGAGAGAACTGGAGGAACGGGATCTAGCTGACTTTTTGCACTGCTTTCTCCAGTGTAGCCTAGCTGCCACACTGCAGAACCTGACCACCAACAAAGCTGCTGCCCTGTCATGATCTTGAAATGCCAAATCTGGAAGCTACATGACAGCTACCACTGTTAACTAAGACCCATGTTGCCTCTACAGTGGTTCACATTCATCGGCAAATGGCTACTATGTGCCTGTCAGTCACCTCTTCACTCATTTTCAAATAAAAGCCTTATGCTAGTTCTTCTAGAGCCTGAATTACATCTAGAACCCTAGCTTCATAGAAATCCATTCTCAACAGTTTAGCACAGAGGAATTTGCAAAGGGTGTTGAGTAACCCAGTCAGCTATGTTTATTACAGTAATTAACTAATAGTGCATAAGCATACATGTTAGAGAAATAGGAAAGAATTTTAGATAGGTTGTATTTCTTTTTAAAACTGGCTTGTCGGGATTTCTAATAAATTTTAGAATAGTTTCAGTCTCTGAAACACAGTATAGTGCTTACAAATTCAATTTCAAAAACCAAAGTTTTCCTCAGTCTATGAAAATTGTTAAGTGCTGTCAAGTCAGTTTCAACCCATAGTGATCTTGTGTAGGGTTTCCAAGGAACAGCTTGTGAGCTTGAACCACCGATATTGTTGTTCAAACAACTTTGCAGTCCAGTGCATTAACCCACAGCACCACACCAGGACTCATGAAAATTGTAGTTATCAATTCCATCATGACCGACTGTTGTTAGGAATAAGAAAGTTTGTTGTTTTTATCTTTAAAAGCCTCTCAGTGCAAGTGCATTTAAAGTGTTGACTTGGTGAGATTTCAATAGAAAATTAGGAAATATATTTTAGGAAGAAAAGGTTGTTTGTGGCTTTAAATTTTGAGTATTATCACGTACACCACTTAATGACAGTAGCGCATTTTCTTGTAATCCTGGTTTTCATGGGATTAAAGTTGAATTTCGTGTTTCTTTTGAAATACACTTTATTACATTTTGATTGCAGTTATTAAGTGCCTTTGAGTTGAATATGACTCATAATGACCCTATATAGGGTTTCTTAGGAGCGACTGGTGAGTTTTAACCACCAGCCTTGAAGTTAGCACTCCCATGCTTATCCTACAGCACCGTAGCAGATGTAAAAATGAGCACAGCAAATCAAACCAAAGCCACTGCTGTCAAGTTAACGCCACCTTACAGAGTGTCTGCAGGACGGAATAGTATAGCAACCCTATATCAGGTCTCTGAGACTAAATCCTTTTGGGAGCAGGCAGTCTCATCTTTCTCCATTGAAGCAGCTGGTGGGTTTTAGCTGCTTACCTGGCCCAATGCTTGAAAACTACTGTGCCGCCAGGACTATTTTAAACGAGTACTAAGTCAAATGATACAATGCAATTTCTTAGAGCTGTCATTTTAACATAAGAGTGTGAGTTTATTTCATGAAGTGTTTATTCTGCTTTTACTAGATAAGTGATTGTATATCTTAGAAAATTATATGGTAATGGTGTGTAGTGGAGTTGGTTCTGACTCATAGCGAGCCTGCATAGGGTTTCCAAGGCTGTAAATCTTTATGGGAGTAGAAAGCCTCATCTTTCTTCCCCGGAACAGCTGGTAGTTTCAAATTGTTGACCTTAAGATTAGTAGCTCAACTCGTTATGCTACCAGAGCTCCTGGAAAATTATGTAGACATGACTAAATAAAATGACATATTTTATGGCATCTTAGTTTGTGATTTCTGAACCACTGAATTAAACATTTTTGTTTTGAGCAAATGAACATTGTAGAGTGTAATAATAGACTATTCACCACCTCATTGCTTTTCATATTTTCTGTGGAAATTAATGGTTCTTATCCTGGTATAGTTCTGTAGCAAAAGCACTGGACCACAGGACAGTTTTGAACTGCAAGTTTGGCGGTTCAAACTCACCAGCTGTTCCTCAGAAACCCTCCACGTGGTTGCTATGCAACAAAACTGACTTGACAGCACTTAACAACAGCAATCACCTTTATATTTGGATTTGAATTATCTTATGGGTTTGGGTTTTTCTTTATAGATTGAAAATAAAATCAGAATTTAATCAAGTGAATTTAATTGAACAAACTCAACACTTACTCATTTTTGAAACATATACATTATTCTTAAAAAAGTAAATAAGTACATTTTAATTTGTGTTTTAAAGAATATTTTTAAGTCATGAGTGTGGGTAGCTACTTATTTATACTCTCTCTAGAAAGACGAGGCTGTGTCCTGCATAAAGATTTATAGTCTCACAGACCCTAGTGAGCATGTCTACCCTCTTCTATAGGGTTACTATAAGTCAGAACCGATTAATAAGCAGTGGGATTAATAATGTTTATATGGTGTATGTATGTGTCTGTGTGGTTAATCATTTTAGACTTGAATTCATGGATATCCTCATCCAGTTTCCCTATATATTTCTTCTACATATGCATATCTATATATATATGTGTGTGTGTTTTTATTGTTAAGAGCAAGGTGAAGGCACAATAATCCTCTATTTCTAGATCTGCCTCTAAATAGAAGAGAATTTCAAAAGGCTTATGGGAAAATGAAATGAAAAGATAATGAAATTCTTCCTCAAACTTTTTGAAGCCCCTTTGAACTTCAGTATGTATTGGTCCTAAAATAAACAAATACATGAGGACATCTTTTACATGACTGACCACACTACAGTTATTAATATTAGGAAATCAGTATTGGAACATTCACAGAAGTTGTAATAAATTGTCTTTGTGTTGTTGATTGTTAACAGGAATTGGTCAAATTGTCTAGACATGCTGCTAAATATTTGTAAATACATTTATTTCATATCATTGTTTGCCTTTGAAACATATAAATTGAACTATAAATTTTATTCTTTGGTGGCTTTTCTGTTTTCATTTAAATTGACAATATTTTTCTTATTCTCTGTTAAGGAATTGAGCCAAAGCTTAACATCCTTGAAATTGTTAAACCTGCGGAAACTGTTGAAGTTGTGATTGACCCAGATGCCCACCATGCTGAAGCAGAAGCACATCTGGTTGAGGAAGCGCAAGTAATAACCCTTGATGGCACAAAACACATTACCACTATTTCGGATGAAACTTCAGAACAAGTTACAAGATGGGCAGCTGCACTGGAAGGTTATAGGAAAGAGCAAGAACGCCTTGGGATACCCTATGGTAATAAAACATATAATTACATGTTAGCTAGAATATTAACATTTAACTTTAATGTAGACTACATGATCTGTTCTGAATGTAGGATTTTTAGGAAGAATACTGATTCTGTACAGCTTTTTTTTTTGATTCTTGAACTGTAACAGACATATGATAGACAAGTATTGTCCTGGGTACTAGGAATATAAAGAAATAAAAGCTGATTCCTACCCTTAGGGTGCTTATGGTATAGTCGAAGAATATAGATGAAAAGAGATAATTTCCATAAAAGGTTGCAGTTTTTAAGTTGCTATTAGAATAGCAAGAAGTTTATAGTGGCCTGCAGCAAAATTGTGCAAAGGAGGACAGTGCACACAGCATAATGTTATGTGAAAAAAAGGCTTAGAAGTGAAAGTTTGTATGAGTAATGAGAAGACTTGTGGGTAAGGAGCTATTCTGTTGTGTTGTAGAACTGGTCTTTGATTCATGGAAATGACAATTGGAAAATGAATGTAGTAGTGGTATATACAACAAGTAGAGACTGAATGAAGGGAACATAGGAGTGTACTATTTTGGTTACATAAAGAACCTAGACTAAGAAATTTCGAACCTAGAAAATGGATAAAAAACAGTGATAGCAATTGAATGACTTTTATGTGTGACATAATGAACCTATACTAAAAATTCTGAACCTAGAAAATGGATTAAAAAAAAAAAAACAGTTATAGCAACTGAATGACAGGTTGTATGAGGATAGGAAGGAGAGACCCTGTATATGGTTTCTTGAGAACCACTGGTGGATTTGAATGACCAGCTTTGCAGTTTCCTGTACAATGCTTACCTACTTCATCATGGCAGGGCTCACTTCAAGAGTTGCTACCCCTCATCCAGCATGTTTTCTGGCTGCTGTTGTTAATGTGCTGTCAAGTTGGTTCCAACTCACAGCGACCCTATACACAATAGAACAAAACACTGCACAGTCCTGCGCCATCCTCACAACTGTTGTTATGCTTGAGTCCATTGTTGCTGCTACGGTGCCAGTCCATCTTAATTGAGGATCTTCCTCTTTTTCACTGGCCTCCATTTTACCAAGCATGATGTCCTTCTCCAGATTCCGGTCCCTCCTGGTAATATTTCTGAAGCAAAATCAACAAAACCTCGCCATCCTGGCTTCAGAGGAGCATTCTGGCTGTATTTCTTCTAACACAGATTTGTTAGTTCTTCTGGCAGTTGTTGTACTTTCAGATATTTTTCAGCGTCATAACTCAAATGCATCAGTTCTTCTGTGATCATCTTTCATATTCATATGAGGCCATGGCTTGGGTCGGGCACGCCTTAGTCGTCAAACCTTTTAAAGAGGTCTTGTGCAGGAAATAATGCTTAATACAATATGTTATTTGATTTCTTGACTGCTGTTTCCTTGAGAAAAATGTCATACAGGTTTATATATATTTACACTTACATGTATGTATACACCAAGATACTTGCTTCCCTTCATTTCCCACATGGTTTCTAGCCTGTCATTAGTTTCCCCAAATTCTCAATCATGTCTTCATTGGGTTTTTTCCTAGGCAGCAGAGTTGTCATCCTAATACATCCTGACAAGGCTGTCATCCTAAGATATCCTTTACTATCATCTCAAGGGTTTTACGGAAGAGAAGCAGGAAGTAACATGTATGGGCAGTTAGTTTTGTTCAGTCAAAAGTTCTGAGGGGAAAAAAAAGTCAGATGAATTTAAATTTTTCTTAACTTTTTTTATCTTAATAATTTTCTGTTCAATTTTTTGTAGAAAACTTTCCTGGACTTTAAAAAAAAACAAAACTTTTTTTAAACTTCTTATTGTAAATTGAGTGAAGGTTTAGAAAGCACATCATCAGTTTTACATTCAATAAATTGTACACTTTGTTTCATCTCAGTGATTGCAGTCCCCTCTGTGTAATATCTCTTATTCCGTTTCTTTCCTATAATTCTTATTTCAGTTCCTTCTTCTTTCCCAACCTTTCTGAATTTTAGGTAATCGCTGCCTTTGAACTCAAATGGTCTCCAATTTTATGGTATGCATAGTTCACCAGTGTTTTCCACCCTCCACCCCCAATACCAATTTACTGCTTGGCCTAAAATTGAACCACAAGGGTGGGTTTAGTTCTACATTAGAAAGGTTACCAAGGGCCATGGTCTTAGGGTTCCTTCAGTATCTTTTTGATCAGTAAGCCTGGTTTTTTATGATTATGAGTTTTGTTGCACATTTTCTCCTACTTTATCCAGGACCTTCTTATGTGATCCCTTTCAGAAAAGTTGGAAGTGGTAGCCAGGTACCATCTAGTTCTTCAGACCTCAGGGTTGTAGAGGAACTGATATTCATGTGGACCATTAGTCCGTTGGACTAATTGTTTCCAAACATCTATAATTTTCATTACTCTTCTTTCCTCTGGACAAGAGGAGACCAGTATTTGCACCTTGATAACTGCTTATGAGCTTGTTAAGATCCTAGTTGCTACTCACTAAAGGGGAGAGCTCTGTCATCTTTTGTTTTCAAACAGTATTAAAAATGGAACACCTGGCTTTCTTAGTTCCTGTTTGTTCTCTTCTTTTATCTTAACTTTTTGATTTTCCTTGGTATCCCTTTTATGCTCAATTTCACTTCCACTCCTAGCAGTTTCTCCTTATTTGCAGGGCTTTTCCTGGAAGTGGGCTTAGTTCGAAAAGCTCATATAGGAAGTACACTGCTTTAGACCTCACTGTAGACATGGATGCTTGCACTCAACTGCTGTTGGATTGGCCAAAATGACTCAGTTGCTGCTTCTCAGCATGGCCCGTTGTGCTTTCAGTGACTCTTCATATTTTCTTTGCTCAGGATGGGTCAGACGTCCTTTCACTTTTTCCTGCTTAGCTGCTAGTACTGTGGATTTGTTGCTGGACTGGTTTGTTATTGGTATATTTTAGGGTTTTGTCACCTGGTTTTGTTGCAAATAAATGTTCATGGTTTCTGAATTTGTTCTCTAGTTGCTTTTTCTATTTTGATGTGTGAATTTAGAGAAATTTTTAAATGTTGCTGTCATCTTCTCTTCCTTGAATCCTCCTTCCTAAATTTCGAGAAATTCTGTGGCTGTCAATGCTATGTTATATTTGATTTGTTTTATTATTGATGGGCTTTTGGTAAATACCCATGCTTTATTTTTCCCCACTAACTTTCTTACTGAGTATCATACATTTAATTGATAGGTAATCAGTGATTTGAATGGATTAAATCCATGATTGAATATCAGTTTAAAAATTAACTATTATTTATTAAACTTCTGTGAATGGAATCCTCTTTTAAGTGCTGTTATACTGGGCCATCTTTTTGATTTGTGAATTTAATAAGATAGTAAAAAATGATTGGAAAGTGAGATTTTATGTATTTAACATTTAGATGTTTTACAAATGTGTGATCAAGACACATGTGATCCTAAGGTAGAAGGGTTATAAAACAGGTTCCTTGTATGCATTTAAGACCCTGATGTCTTATGGAGGAGGCAGTTGTGAGTATATGTAAACAAAAAAACAATTAGCATGCTATGTCTACTATAAGGATAAATGCAGACCCAGCCAACTCTTTACCAGTAAAAGACAAGAAAAAAATTCATTGTTCACATTTTAAAGAATAAGTCTAACACCCTAGATTTCCCCTTAAAGTTTTTCTAATGCACCAAATGATATGCTGCTATGAAATAGTTTTAAAACTTGGGTAATTATTCCGTTCTGTCTAGGTTATCACATATTTCATACTGAGAAACAGGTTTACATTTTGTTTACTTTATAAAATTTTAAACGGACTGAAATGAATCCTTCTGAAATTTAGTTTAAGAAATTAAAAAAGAACTGAGGAGAAAATAAAGCATAAAAATCTGTTTTCCTCAAAATGAGTTTACCTAACTTAGTTGGAAAGAAAAGGTGCTGCCTGGATTTTATCTGTATGCTTTCTTGTGTGCTATGTGTTTATTAACAAGTTAACTATAACCTTTTATAACAGCTTTGATAATTATACAATATCTAAAGAGGATTTTTTTCTTTCTAGATCCTATACAGTGGTCCACAGACCAAGTCCTTCACTGGGTGGTCTGGGTAATGAAGGAATTCAGCATGACTGATATAGACCTTACCACACTCAACATTTCAGGAAGAGAATTGTGTAGTCTCAATCAAGAAGATTTTTTTCAACGGGTTCCTCGGGGAGAAATTCTCTGGAGTCATCTGGAACTTCTTCGAAAATGTATAAATCAGATTTATTTTCTATTTACCTTGTAGCTTAAGGTTAATTTCACTTCTAACATTGTTTTCATTTCAATTGTTCATTGATAATTGCAATAGTTTTAACTCCAACAAAAGAAAGTCCTATTGTGGCACTGTAGGATTGGATTGCTAACCACAAGGTTGGCCTTTCAAACCCATCATCTTCTGGTGGAAACCCTGTACAGGGTCGCTATGAGTCAGAACCAGCTTGATAGCTCTCAACAACAACTATGTAAAAGGCATTATGTGCATTATACTGATTTAATCCCCATAATAGCTCCACAAATCATTACTGGGGTTTGTTGTTGTTACCTGCTGTCTAGTCTCGATCCCCAGATCATGGTGCTCTTATTTTTCAATGGGATTGATCCCTAGAGTTTTTGTTGGCTAATTTCTGGAAATCAGTATCCAACCCTTTTTCCTTGTCCAAGTCTGAAAGCTCTGCTGAAACATCCATTAGCACAGCAACATACAAGGTGTTGACTGACAAAATAGGCTGTGCTTGAGAGAATTTTAAATAACTTGCCCAAAGTTGTACACCTAGTGAGAGGCAGAGCCAGAATCATAGCCCAGCTGACTAACACTAGAGTCCAGTTTCTTAAATGAGATATTATGGTCTACTGTTGAGTGTATTCAAACTTATACTGACCCTGTATAGGGTTTTCAAGGAGCAGCTGGTATGTTTGAGCTGCCAACCTTACAGTTAGCAGTTCAATGTGTATTCTACAGGGCCACACCAGGTTCTACATTCAAATATTCTAGTCTTTGATTTACATTTTGTCCATTAGTTGTTCAATGCACTTAGAAATTTAAGATAGTTTGTTTGTGGTTTCTTTATTATTAGTGGTATTAAATACTAAGCTTTCTTGCTATTAATTGAGTGGGGTTTTAAGAGAGAAAAGAGAAGTCTTAAGTATGCAGCCCACCATCTTGAATTGTAAGCCTCTGGTTCTACAGTACTGTTCTACAGATACTATTATTGCAGTTGAGCAACTTTAAAGAAATTAGAAACTGCTTAACTGTTAATAAAAATAATTAAAATAAATGTAATATTACTTTGTTTGAATTGTATTCCATTTTACATTTTAGTAACTGTGTTAAGACATCTTATGTTGTTGTTACATGCCATTGAATTGGTTTGACTTATAGTGACTTTGTGGTTCAAACTGACCTTACAGTTCAGTGCTTTACACCACACCACACCAGGACTCTAAGGCATCCTTTGTTGTCATTTTTAAGTGCCGTCAAGTCAATTCCGATCCATAGCTACCCTGTATAGGGTTTCCGAGGAGCGAGTGCCTCATGAGCTTGAACCGCTGACCTTGTAGTTCAAACAACTGTGTATAGTCCAGGTGCATTAACTCACAGTGCTTTACCAGGACTCCCTAAGATATCTTAGCAGCAACCTAATCCCTAACACTGGTTTGTATGCCTGAAATGCTAGCCAGACCCACATGTCTTTTAGGAATGAGTGAGAACAATTCCTAACTCTGATTTGGTCTGTATAATGTCGTGCTGTGGTGGTTTGAGTTGCTGTGATTCTGAGGGCTATGCCACCGGTGTTTTAAATAACCAGCAGGGTCACCCATGGTGGAAAGGTTTCAGATGAGCTACAAAACAAAGACAGACTAGGAAGAAAGAGTGACAAACTACTTCCGAATCGCTAGTCACTGAAAACTCTATGCATAGCAGAGAAACATTGTCAGATATAGGACTGGAAGGTGGGAGGGCACTCAGAAAGCAATTGTGGAAAAAAATGCCTACTCAAAGTAGGGTTGGCCATAATGACATGAATACAGTTAAGCTCGGGGGAGAAAAGCACACAGAACCTGCATTTGCTGATGGGCAACAACTTAAAATGAAGAGAAACAGCTGTAAACATCCAAGAGATCAGACGACGTATTGCACTGGGCAAATCTGCTGCACAGGAACTTTTTAAAGTATTGAAGAGCAGAGATGTCAGCTTGAGGACTAGGGTGCGCCTGACCCAGGCCATTGTGTTTTCAATAGCCTCATATGGATGCGAGAGCTGGACAGTGAATAAGGGGGATCGTAGAAGAATTGATGCCTTTGAGTTGTGGTGTTGGAGGAGAATACTGAGGGTGCCATGGACTGCCAAAAGAACCAATAGATCTGTTTTGGAAGAAGTGCAGCCAGAGTGCTCCTTGGAGGTCAGGATGGCTAAGCTTCGTCTCTCCTACTTTGGACATGTAGTCTGGAGGAAACAATCGTTGGAGAAGGATGTCATGCTGGGTAGGGTTGAGGGTCGGAGAAAAAGAGGAAGACCTCCAACGAGATGGATCGGCCAGGTGGCATCATTGATGGACTCGAGGGTGGCAGCGGTGGTGAGGTTGGCCCAGGATCGAGCATTGTTTCGTTCTGCTGTTCATGGGGTCGCTATGAGTCGGTTCCGACTCGATGGCACCTGACAACAACAACAACAACAACAATGATTTGGATTAAAATGTGTATCTGTAGAATTCTATACTATGTGCCCAGAAAGGGGAGGCATGCTGTGGAGAGATATTCCACAATAACTTAATTCTTAAGGCTTCTGATTTAGACCTTTCTGGAAGCCCTTTCCAACTCTATGTCTGGAAGTAGATCTTGCCTGGCACCCTAATTAGAGCCACGTTGGACTCATAGCTGAATATTTGCTGATGGATAGAATTTCAGTTTCAAGAAAGAAGTATGCAGTCTATAATGGTAACTAAATAGTTTGAAGTATTAGAGACTGGGAGGTACAATTCTATTTTGAGAGAGAGAGAATAACATTTGAGTAGGAAATAGGGACAGAGGAGTGATGAATGAAAAGATTGTACAAGAGGTCTTTAAAAAGTTTGTGGGACAACTCCATCTTCTTTATATTCTACTTTTCTACGAAGTTTTTAAAACCCATTTCAATTGTGATATTTAGGATAGCTTCCATTGTATTGAAATTTTAGTTATCTTCAGGTAGGAGCATTGCACAAGTTAAAGCAGTTATTCAAAAGTGAATGTCAACGCAGTCTAGTAACTGATGAAGATCTCTCGCTTCATCCCAAGGGCCATGGAGCCTTTTTTGGGAAAATCTGTGAAGTAATTTCAGCATTGTGCATACTGTTATCTTTGATTGGGTCTTGCAAATCTCCACATTTTTATATGTTTTGAAATAGATAAGCTCAATTTAGATAAAAGATACTTGTATTTAGAAAACCATGGTTCTCTTAATAGATTTTTGGACAATAAAAGAAACTGGAGCATTCCTCCTGTTTACATCTCTGAAATGTATCTTTTTCGTGAGGCACTGTAGGTTAATGTGCTGGACTGCAAAGTAGGTTTGAACTTCAAGGTCGGTGGTTTCAAACTCACCAGCCGCTTTTCAGAAACCCTATACAGGGTCGCTATGGTTTGGAGCAGACTCGACAGCATTTAACATCAACAACATTGTGATGTTAAGTATTTTTTAGGTTATTATGCCATTAAGTTTGCTTTGTTTAATGATCACTTGTTTTTGGTTTTAATTGTGTAGTTCCATTTAGCATCCAGGTGTGTTAAACATTTGTACCACCTGTAGACCACCTTGGTAGGGCTTCTAGTTTGACTGATACCTTATAGTTCCATTCAAGAGCATGAATTATATATATTAAATTGAATTTTATTGGATGAGTGTACATTTCTGATATTTAATGAAAATAAATATTTTCTCATATTATTCAGATGTATTGGCAAGCCAAGAACAGCAGATGAATGAAATAGTTACAATCGATCAACGTGAGTAGTTCATGCTGGTTATATATGATTCTTTTATTAATAAAAGTAAATTTAATTTGGTACTGCAGAATTATAAGAAGGAAAAGGGTTTTTTAAATTTTTAATGAACTATTTTAGAGTATAACCAACACCAGTCTACACCCATGGATATATGTGAATATAAAAATTTGCATACTAAGTTTACTTGTTGTAGATCTATTTTTGTCTTTATATGTAAACCATAATACTTATAGCATTATTGTGCATGTGCTTAATATTTTGGGTAAAATAGGAACTTAACTATAAACATATAATTTATTTTTTGTTTAACATTTAAGAGAACCACAAGATGAATTCAAGCCTAAAGCTGCTCCTGAGAAATTCTATACAGAGTCTTACTCGACGGCATTTAATAGCAACACCACCCATGTTGTTATCTGCTGGTTTAGTCCATTTATTTTTCACTGCTGTATTATACCAGGGAGTTCTGGTGGTACTGTGGGTTAAGCATTGGGCTGTTAACCTCCTTGGGAGAAAGATTAGGCTTTCTGCTTCCATAAAGATTTACAATATCAGAACCCTTATGAACCAGTTGTACTCTGTCCTATGGATCGCGATGAGTTGGAATCAACTAGATGACAGTGGGTTTATATGTATGAATTCGTCTGTTGATAGGTATTAGGTTACTTCTCATTTTTCATTGTTTATAAAAATGCTACTATATTCATATTTGTAAAAATATGGGTGAGATTCTCTCGTAGTATCATTAGATTTCTACCTTGTCAACCATACTTAAATACTATGAAAATATTTTTTAAATTAATGCTATAAGATTGTTCTTCAACAAGTGATTATCTTTTTTAAAAAAAACAACAACTCCTACTTGGGCATCGGGCATGATATAGTTACCAGCACCATGGAAACCCTATTTCTAAGCAGGATTATAGTCATAGGTATATAGGGGTCAGGAGCCCAACATATATTTTGGAGGGATATCATTCAGTTAATTATTGGTGTGCCTCTTTGTCTTCTGTTTCTGATAACTTTTGCTTGTGGTCCCTTATTTCATGATCTTTGGACCTTTGTTTGTTTTTTTTTTCCTGAACATTTTATTGTGGTTTTGATAAAAGTGTATAGAGCAATATGTTTCTCATCCAACAGTTTATACACATTTTGCTTCATGACCTTAGTTATAATCCCTTCAATGTAACAGAACTCTTCCCACTTTAATCCTTGGGTTCTCTTTCCGTTTGACCATCTTTCCTGCCCCTTCCTGCTTTCTGAATGTTGTTTTTGGACAGATACTTCTTTTTGGTCTTGTATGGCTGATTATTCTAAGGAGCACATTCCTAACAGGTGTTAATTCACATTTTAGACGTGTCTGTTGGCTGAAAAGTGATCCCAGAGTTTGGTTCAATTCCAGGGCGTCTAAGGGCCATTAGTTTTAGGGGTTCCACCAGTCTTTGTTTAACTAGTAAGTCTGGTACTTGTATGATTTTGAATTTTTTCTACGTTTTCCTCCCATTCTGTGTAGGACCTACTATTGTGATCCCAATTAGAGCAATAGGTAGTGGTAGCCAGAGACCATCTAGTTAGGGTATAGGTCTAGTGGATGCTGTTGTTCATGTGGTTTATTAGTCTTATGGACTAATTTTTTCCCTTTAGTCTTCTATTTTCTTTTTATTTCTTCATACAGGAAAAGACCGAAAGTTGCAAGCTTTTAAGAATCCCAGTTACTGCTCACCAAAGTAGAATGTTGTATGTTGTCTTTATGGATTATGCTAAGTTCCTTGATTTAAATGTTCCCACAGACTATGGCACAAAGCTTTCAAATATATGGCAGTCCATCAAGGTATTTGATTGTGGCTAAGTTACGAATCAGGCTGCTAACCTCAAGGTTGGCAGTTTGAAACTACCAGAGGCTCTGCGGGAGAAAGATGAGGCTTTCTGCTCCGGTAAAGAATTACAGCCTCAGAAACCCTATGTAGGGTCACTATGAGTCAAACCGACTCCTTGGTACTTAACAACAACAATGTTTATATGAATTTTCCCCCTGTGTATGCTTTACTATGCTTTTGTTGTTAAGTCAAGTCAGTTCTGACCCATAGTGACCCTGTATAGAGTTTCCAAGGAGTAGCTGATGAGCTTGAACTGCCAACCCACTTTGCAGCCCAGTTCAGTACCCCACAGCGCCACCCAAGGACTCCTATGCTTCACTGTATACCTGGATATATTTGCAACATATGTAAATACGTATGTACAGATAGCTTGTGCCAAACCTATGTGTGCTCATGAGTATACTCCCATGTGCCATCCTACACTTAACCAGGTACATATCTACATATTCATCCACTCATAAATTATTATTTGTTGTTGCCATTTATTACAAGGTTGTATGTGTAGTAGTGTATACCGCGGTTGCCTTTTACTCATGTACATTTTCCAGTGTGTCTTCGTTTACCTTGGTCATGTTGTGCTGACTTCTTCTTTACTTTTTTGTGTATTGCTTTTCCCTTCACCCATATTAATACACAAAGACCACAGCCTTTTGTATGGATGTCATCTCAATATAAAGAAAACAAAAATCCTCACCACTGGACCAATAAACAAAATTCTTAGCAATGGAGAAAAGATTGAAGTTCTCAAGGACTTCATTCTTCTAGGATCAACTATCAACAGTCGTGGAGGCAGCAGTCAAGAAATCAGACGATGTATCACATTAGGCAAATCTGCTGCACAAGACCTTTTTAAAGTGTTGAAGAGCAAAGATGTCAGCATGAGGAATAAGGTGCACCTGACCCAAGCCCAATGGTATTTTCAATAAGCTCATATACATGTGAAAGCTGGACAGTGAATAAGGAAGTCCACAGAAGATTTGATGCTTTTGAGTTATGGTGTTGGAAGAGAATATTTAAAGTGCCATGGGCTGCCAAAAGAACCAATAGATCTGTGTTGGAGGAAGTGCAGCCAGAGTGCTCCTTGGGGGCCAAGATGGCCAAACTTTGCCTCTCATGCTTCAGATATATTGTCAGGAGAAGGATATCAAGTTTGGTAAGGTGGAGGGTCAGAGAAAAAGAGGAAGACACCAAGCGAGATGGATTGGCAAAGTTGGCAGCATCAGTGGGTTCAGGCGTGGCAATGATAGTGAGGTTGGCCCAAGACTGGGCAGTATTTCGTTCTGTTGTACGAAGGGTCGCTATGAGTCAGTTCCAACTAGATGACACCTAACAACAACTGCTTAGTTATTTTCCCTCTCTCCTGTTTCCATCTCTGGTACCATCAAAGTGTTTATTTCTGTGCTTAAACCTGTTCTTGACTTTTTAAAATAGTGGTGTTATATAATAATTGTCTTTTCTGTGATTGACTAATTTCACATCACACAGTGTCCTCTAGGTTTATCCATAGTGTAAAATGTTTAACGGATTCATTGTTATTCTTTAACATTATATAGTATTCCATTGAAAGATGCTCTGGGCAAATTATTGAAT